AAAAAAAAAAAAAGAAGCCCTTTCCCTTATGCTCTTATGCAGATTTGGAGGATATAATTTCATATACATTCAGTTTTGGATTTGAGAAGAATTAGATTCATTGGCAAATGAATCATATACCATGCAGCATCTTTTCTTCCTTAAGTGTGTAGAGCCTAAGGCCTTGCATCAAATTGTACAGTACTCAATTTTTGAAGTTGAACCAATTTTATTTCTAGTTCACAAATTATTTGATTGAGTCAAGTGCAGTCATGAGGTGGAAAAGTGGTGATAGATGACTATGATAAATGCACTTTAAAGAAAAGTGCCCCAAGAAAGCTGTGCAGATGTATTCAGCTGCATAATATTGGATTTCCATGAAAAGGGTAGCCATTGATATGCTAGAAGAACTCCCTCTAATGGAATCATAATTAGTGCAAGCTACTTGCATCCTGTGCAAAGTCAACTTTCTTTTGTCACAGAGAAGAAAGTACTAGTATTTTAGTAAAGCTTGTTGCTTTGCTACTTTTTTTTTTTTCCAAATGGACTTTAAATTAAATCCCTTTCTTAGACAATAATTGGAGATTGGAATTGCCTACTAGAGCTGTATTTGGAATTGTGATTTCTATATGTACTACTTATGAGATGCTGGAGTTAAGCTTTAACATTCAGCACTGTGAGTTGTCCGTGGGCCCTGAGATGTTACCTGGGCAATTAGTACCAAGAAAATGAATGACACTGGTAATTTACCCTGAAAAAAGAAATTACTATTATAATCAGGTGGTGGTGGTAGTTGGTTGGGTTATTTTGATTTTAGATTTTGGCCCGATGATTATCCCTGGAATCTGAGGGACTTCAAGGAGAAAACTCATCAGCTTAGAGTAAGGATGTTGTCTGCCATCCTAGAGCCACTCGTCTCTGCAATGAGGGTATAGATACCCCTGTCACCAAGTAACTTGGAACTACATCAGGCACCACTATAATGAGCCTTCATTTCCAGGATGTGAAAGTAGATCTGCTCATTCAAATGCCTGAAACTATTTGATTTGTTATGGAGATGCACTTAGGTCTTAGCTATATTACTGCTGGCTGAAGTCTCACTGAAGTCTGTATATACTACAGTAGCAGGGTTGAGGAATAAATAAATAAATATTTGCAATAGATTCTGCAGGGATCCATGTATAGCTGCTGTTTGAGAAATCTGTCTTATTTTTCAATACAATACAAAGAATATAAATGAAATCCAGAAAACTGGATTCTTTAGGTTTGATATGATGCCACTGAAAGCAGTGAAGCTTCTCTGATTTATAGGAGATGAACATCTCAACTGTAATATTTTATTATTGAATTTTAGAGAATAATTGAATATGAGAAAATTGTGCACACTCTTTATTTATTTATTTTCATAGCAGAGAAACAGGATTTTCCCAAACTTTTAATAAGTCATCATTCTTAGTGTGTAAATTTCATTATTTTGGCTGAGTGAATGTGTAAAGCATGAGTGAATCAATCCGATAGTCTTTATTTTAAACTGTTTCAGTATTAGTCATCAAAGCATTTTCTGTAGTTCACTACCCTGCTTAAATAGCAGAATTTGCTGCAATATTACTTATTAAGAAAGGGTTAAGAAGTGAAAGATGAAGAGCTCCAAGTATCATTGTTTCAGTACAAGCAGTGTTATGTCTCTGCTACAGTGCATAAAGAAAGGAAGAAATGCTGACAAGAAAAAATATCACACTTTTAAAAACTTTCCCGAGTCTAAGGAAGATACTTTTAAATTTGTGCCAGTTACAGTAATTAGTAAACTTGTTCTTAATAGTGTTGTTAAAATGTAATTTTTTCACACTTTCTCTGACTTTGACACTGCTGCTTTTTAAACTTCATTTTGCACTTTGTTCCATTGTTCTTTAATCTGCTGCACTTTGCATTTAGTATCACTGAAATTTCGCACTTACTATGTCAATAACATCTGGCAAAATTGCCACCTATTAAGAGTAAGTGTTCTTTTTTCTCCTGTGAGAAATGTGATGGTGTATTATATTGGTTTCCCTTGAGAGGCTAAGGAGACAATTTTAAAGCAGATAAATGCATTAAAGAAATAACCTGAACTATGAGAGAAGGTTAACGAAAGTCAGAAACTTTTTACTTTTTTTTTTTTTTTTTTATCCTTTTTCTTTTCCTTTAATAAAAGCATCTTGCACTTGAGGGGAGTGAAAAAATAATTTGGTTATGCAATCTTTTGCACATTTGGATGTATGTTACCTTTCATCATGCTGCTGCAGAATGTGTTATGTTCTCATAGGCTTTTATCTGCATCAATATTTTTTCTGCATATGTTGGATATGTGCCGATTTAATGATGAATTCCTTTGTGGAAACACAGGAATGGTTTTCCAGAGGTGCTGTAGACAGTTCAGGCCTGGCTTTGCATCTTCCACCTCCATGGTCCAGAACTAGTTCCAGTTCACCTGTGCACCATGCTCCTTCCCACAGCGCAAATATTCTACTGAAGGAAGGTGGGATGTGTTGCAGTCCCCTTTGCCTCCTCCAAACTCTACATTCCAGCTAGACAAGCTTAATGACCTTCTGCTATCAACCATACTTGGGTGATTGATCCACTTCAGTCATGGTGCTTTCAAGAAGATCTTCCTGAATGAACATATACACGCTTCCCAAACTATGCCATTTTTACATATGCATTGCTAGTAAATGAAACTGAATTTACAGAAAGAAGTTCAGTCTGAGTGATAAACATTTCCTTTGCCATGGATAAAATCTGAGTGAAATTGAGCCATACATGTCATGCACGTGCTGAAATGTTGCTGTGTTTCCACTAACAGCATATAAGTCAAAGAGGAAAAAAACTTCATGGAAGGAAATTCTGTGGCACTTTTTACATTATGGGGTCAATATTCACAGTGCTGCCTCCCATGGCATTGCAGAAATGTGAGCTCAGAAGGGCTGAGGGAAATACAACCTGTTCCAGAGACTGTCACAGCCATAGGGAATCTTTCTGCTGACTTCAGGAGAGCTTTGATCTGAACCCACATTATAAATACAAACTATATGATCTGATTGAAAAAGCGGGAGGAATAGGAACATAATGAACTGAGACATGGGGATGTGGGATTTTGGTACTTCGGCAGATGGTGGAAGGGCATTCCATGTCTGCAAATCCTCATGTCAGGACTCTGTGTTGCAAACACAGTGATATCCTGCTTTGAACAAGGGACATGAGTTTTATATCTGGCTACATGCACAGCTCCAGTTAGCATAATGGGAACTTAGCATATATTGAATCACAGACAGAATAGACTTGACCGGAAAAAAATCTGTCCCAATGGAAAAGCAACTTAACAATTAGACTAAAAAAGCAGATTGTCCTAAAATTGATATACTTGATCTTTATTCAACATATTGTTAATGAAAAATACCTACATTCTTCATCTTCTCTGTACAGATACGAGACTGAAAAACATAAGCAGCTCGAATCTGTATGTCTGAAATTTTACTTGAGTAAAGCAACGTAGGAATGAGTTGAATGCTTTAGTTACTTTGATGTATAAGGTTATTATAGAATACATCTCATCTGAAATAATTAGAAATAATAATATTACAGATTTGCTATCTAGCTATAGTACAATACGTCTTCCAGTGGTTTTTGATTTGCATGTAATATTTATAATGTCATTTATTAGATTGTTTCTGTATAAATCTACCCAGGTGATGTGTTACTACTTAAACTTTGAATGTGTGTCTTGGAGGATACAGAAATAACAAAATAAAGCATGCTTGAACATTGTCATTCTTTTCTTTCTTTCACACATACAATTAAGGCTCAGGTATTTGCATCTGAATTGATTCTGATATAACATGGGGTTTACATACCACTGGTTACAAATAATGAGGTGCTGAAGAACAACAATTGCATTTCTCCTCCCAGATTTTTCCTTTTCTAAAATTTCTTCATTCTTTTTTTTTTTTTTTTTTTTGGCAGCTATTTAAAATCTTTTCTCTGACATTAATGTGTTTTCTTCTGACAGAGTGACTCCTCTGACACTATTTATTTTAAAATAATTTTATATCACGAAAGATTATTCTTATCAACACACAAATAAGACTCTAATGAGCACAAACATGAATCAAATACTCAAGTGTTGTCCAGTGTTATCCAGTGTGATACCGCAGGGCTCATTTTTAGCCTTCCTTCTAGAAGTGAGTCACTTCTAATTTCTTAATTTAGAAAAGATGACTTATTTCCTTGTGTTGAAAATCCACCAAGAATTTACTGTGGTGGTTCATTAACCTTTTCCCACTGGAGACAGAACTAGGGACTCAAGCAAGTTCTCAAGGTGACTGCATGACTAACCTATCCAAATCTTTTTCTTTTTTTTTTTTTTTTTTTCATTGAAAGACATCCTGTGATAGATAACATGCAGCTAGCTCGCGTGAGCCTTGTTCACACTTTGTAATGCTGTTCTTAGTAGGTAGTTCCCATGATTTCCTGGGGAGGATTCAGAGAGTAAGTCAAGGTTTGGCAACTTTTCAAAGTTGAGGTGCCAGATGGTATTTTTCTTTCCCAAATTAGAAGTTAAGCGTGCTGCTAGAAGCTCAGCAAGAGCTGGGAGGTACTGCCTTTCACAGAAGCAAGATGCTGCCAATCACCTTATTGGAGGTATCGTCTCTCTGCACGAAGCTGCAGATCCTGAGCCCCTGCTGAGTGTGGAGGAGCCTCAGCCTCTCACAGGTGTCCCTCTAAAGATACACTTTGTCTCCGGGCTCCTGAGCCCATGTGAGCTCTGCTGTGTCTCATTCAGTGGCTGCCTGCAGACCTTCCTGACCATCCAAGCCGTGAACTGAAAACTTCCAGTAAAGAAAACAAATATTAATAGAGCAGACATGTCCTCATCTAACCTAAGTTAGGGTAACTGGTTTGGATTAACACAGTGGTCTCCCATTTGATAGCTGCTTTTCTGCCTGCTATTTTTATTTTCCCCATGTTGAGGCTATTTTTAAGGGTTTTTGTTTGTTTGTTTGTTTGTTTGTTTCTTTGTTTGTTTTTTCCCTACCAAATCTAGATTTAAAATAAGTGACAAAAAACTCAGAACCTCTACCTATAATGTCTATCTTTAGGCAGTTACACTGACAACAGGTGCTTCAGGAAAAACACATTTGTTACAGGTAGGCATGTGATTAAGCTGCCAGCACCCACTTTTCTGGCACCTGAAAGTTGGCAAGGATCATAGTCTACTTCCTTGTTCAGCTGCAGCTTGTCAGCTGAAAGCTGCTCCATTTTGCATTTCTGGTTCTCTTTCATGTTTGCAGAGATCATAAACCCTGGAAGTCACAGAATTTGTTTGTGAGGGCCGTCTTGAAAAAGTAGCTTGCAATGAACTTCCATAGAGATATTTCATGTTGTAAGGTCCACAAAATCTTCTATGTAGCGAGCTACCAGGAGCAAGAAATGTTAGAAAAACAACACCTGTATAAACTGTGAATATCTTGCACTGCTAACCACTGAGTGCTTCCACTCAGGACAAGGGAAACAAAAAGAAATGGGAGTGAGTAAATGCTTCCCCATGAATGTTTCCTGGCATACCTTTCAAAGAAAGTGCAGGATCGGCACTCCTTGGCTGTTTGAATGAGGGTATGGCCATGCCGTGTGTCCTGAGATAACACTTAATATGTGCTTTGTTACTGCCCTGGTGACAGTCTTCTCATGCAACTAGAAGGAGGCCTGAGTTGAGTTATCTGAATTTGTTGTAGGAAAAGAAGAAACAGCACAGCTTTGGAGGACCTCAACTGGACTGCTTTGACATCTTACATTTCACACAAATGAGAACATTAACTGATTCACATCTGTCTGGAAGGTGGGACGTGTTGGAAGGCTGTTATCAGAAATCCAGAATTTTCTTGCTACTCCAAATTGACAGATCACCTACTATCATATAAGAAAAAAGACTGTGGAAACCTACTTTGATGCTTTCTCCATCAACACTGGCTGAAGCCTAGTTTTAAACAAAAAGGAATGCAAACCAGTTTGACATTTAGCAAGATTGCTCTGATACAACAAATATGCTGCAAGCCTGAAGACAGGTGTATTACCACTAAGAAGGATTTTGTTATGAATGTTCTCATTACAGTGTGTCATGGATAACTAACAGTGTACAGTTTGTGCCTTGAGGTTTAGATTTGCTGTTGTTACATTGTTGTCACATATTTTTATTTTAATCTTTTAGATTAAATGGTAAATATAAAAGTCTTTATTCAATTAACTAAACGGTAGTCGTTAAGAGATAGTGATTGAAGTAAAATGGTGAGAAATTACAGTTCTGTATGTGAAAATACAGAATTCAAGTGAACAGTACAGTAAGTGAAGGAATAAAACCAGTAAAAAGTAAACGCATTCCTGAAGCCTTCCCCATCAAGATAATGTTCAGAAATTGCTTAAGCTTTTTTTAGTGATGTTTCATGTTACGGGTAATATAATACCCTAAGTTTGACATTTACAAATGTAAAAGATCATGTGAATATTCACATGCATAATGTTGGCTATTTACTTTCTCATTGGCTTCAGAAGGACACAGTTTAAAGTTTGCTGCTGACACTAAATCTAATCTACCACTGCAGTTTATGTCTGAAGTAAAATAAAAGACAGTTTTAATGTGTTTATCTATTTTCTTTCCAGTATATGACCCAATTGAGGGATGAATTTTAGCCCTGAATCTTTCTCATAACCTCTATTTTGATCATATCTGACTGTAATAACTATCCTTTTTATTATCATTATTTAAATTATTTCAATAGACTTCTAATGGTAAACTGGAATAATGTAGCATGTGCATAACAGTGTCAGTTGGGCAGTAAGGAACCAGATGAAGTTTAACAAAAGCAAGTGTA